ACAACCACAGGATTGGATCAGTTTGGATCCCAAAGAACTGGATTACCTGATCCCACCAGAAGGGAGTGGATTTCCAGTGATTACCGAGGCAAAATGTACTGTACAATTTATTTAAAAATATGTTTCATTGAAATAAAATGAAAAGTTTGTCACACTGAGAATAATACACATTTTTAACCCTTCATCGGAAATCACTTTTTTCAGTTTTGGTCACGTTTGTGGTGGCCTATTTTGTTTTCAACCAAATGTTGATGACATAAATGTTTATGCTCATAAAAGTATCACAACAAAGATTGTCAATCACAAATGTAATTTAGATTAAAGTAAAAATATCTTCAACAACAAAAAGTCCATCATCTGTCATCACCTTTCAAATAAAAATATAATTAAACATTATAGATGTCTCTGCAATGTGGTCTCTTGTCTTCCTTGTATTCTTTTTCATATCCACTAGATGGCGATCGGTAGGATTAAAGCACTGATATTCAGGATCTAGTCATCTTGAAAAATCGTAATCTGGATCAGGCTGATCCTATCCTGAATTGCTTTGAACTCCAGGGACAAAATGTGGCCGACTTGTCTGATCCTGGATCAGAAAAAATGGGATTTCAAAATCTGATCGGATCTGATTGAGATTAAAAGTTTTGAACTCTTGGGCCCTGCAGATTAGTTCCATACCCAATATGTCATGATCCACTTAAGTTAGTCCTAATGCAAGATGAATACATTTGTGTTTCTTGTTTTGTTTGCCTCCATCTTAAGTGAAAGGGAGCCTGGGAGAAAATGAAGATCTGACTCGGTTTGATGCTAACTGCACTTTACTAGTTTAAACATGTTTAATTATCAATATATATCTAATTTATAAAAGGCACAAACTGCACTATTTGGACAACTTCTCGACAACACTTTCAATAAATAGAAATACACTTTGAGGAAATAAAAGGTAGATTCTATATCATTGTAAAACATAGATTTGCACTTTATGAAAGAGCAAATTGTGATAAAGGCAGTGGTTTTATGTTCATATTTAATGTACTATAACCTGTGTTTGCTAATATTTATTTTTGCTAACTTTTTTTCCTTACTAAACTTACCTTAAACTATATTTCTCTTATAGCAGAATTAGGTAACTGATCAAATATGTAATTCAAACACATGGTTAAAAGGTTTATATTATGCTCTACAATGGGCCCTTTTGTGTTTTTGAAACATTGTGGGTTCCACTGATTGGTCCTGTCTTTCCTTGCAGTCTGGCCCTGTTCCTGGTGTTTGTGGCTGCAGTTCTCGTCCTTTCTCTGGCCACAGGAAACATCCAGATTCACTCCTCAGAACGCCAGTTTCTACCCATTTACCTCCTCAACAAAAACGAGATGCCGCACAGATACTCTACCGGCCTCCTGGTTCAGAACTCCTCAGGTGAGTCCGGGAGATGTTCCAAAGGATAAGTATTTATTCATAGCAATTATGCAAAGAAAGATTTGCATACTGTAAATATTGTGACTGGCTTCTAACTGCTGTACAACTGTCCAATTACACCTCAGAAGAGAGTCAATGGGAACTGTCCCATGGGTGTAATTCTAACCTCCTTGACGAGGATGACCCTTTCAGTATTCCTTTACTCTCTCTGCATTTGGAGCTCTTACATCAGCTGTTTTCTAGCACATTGGTTTGAAGTGTTGTTTTTGTTGTTGTGCCAACAGGCTCTGATCTTTCTGATTTCATCCACAACCTGGAGTCTCAGGACCTCAAAGTAGATCTGATGAAACACAGCGAGTACATGGCTGCAGCCCCCCACAGCGCCGCCATCAACGTGACAGGATCCAGCAAGGTTATTATCGTACAGATTCAATCAAAACAAAAGATCAGCAGTTATGTTAGTAGTGTTCCAGATGAAGGGCTCTTTGTGTAAGTGCTGCTAAGTACTCCAACTGAGAGCCTTATATTTAGATTGAGTGGACTCTGTTAACACTTTGTTTCTGTATGTCGACAGGGGTTCAGGTACAGTGTTGCGTTCAACAGCACCACCGTTCACTCCTTGCCAATGGCTGTCAATGTATTAAGCAACGCTCTTCTAAGAGGTCTGAATGGTACTGGACAGATACGAACCTGGAGCAAACCATTTGATTATGTGAGTATTTCAAGACATACTTCAGCCCCTAAATGATCCTTGTATATCAATTACTCAGCCCATGTTACTTTCATATGAGTAGATCATACATATCCTTTTACCCTGTGCCATTTGAAGATTCTAAATATTTTCATTGTGCCATCCCTCAGCAAATGCCCGATGCCACGTCCTATGCTCTGGTGTACATAGAGGCCATCATTCTGGGGATGCTGGCTGCTGGGATGCCTGCGTATTTCGCCATGGACCACACTCGAGACAGAGAGGTAATCACTAACCCCCACTGATAATGATTCTAACGATATTTTTGATCTGTACAACAAGGGAATTATTTAGCAAAGATAAAAGTTTTAAGAAAGTTAAGGTTTTTTATTTCTTGAATTTGAATTGTAACCATAGCTTTGTACCTAAAAGAAAGATAGGAGTGATTTTACTGCAAAGGGGCTAATAGAGGGAAATATTCTGCAGAGCTGCTGCTATTGATTTAATAAAAATACCCAACTTTTAATAATATTTAGTCAGTTATTTTCTATGCATATTGGCAGAAATGCTTGTTTTCTGTATTTTATATCATATATTATTCACATCTTTAGGTTTTGGACTGACAAACTAAGACTTTAAAGACTTCACTTTGGACTTTTAGAATCTGGGAAAAACATTTTTCAGTACTTTCTGACATTGTAAAAACCAAAGGATAAACCATGAATCTAGGAAATAATTAGAAGATTAAATTACAATGCAAATAATTGTTAGTTGTAACCCAACTACTGTGCACTCATAAACCTCTCCTTTGCTACATGTGAATTTGAAACGATGTTTTTGTGGCACTTCATTGGACAGTTTGAGAAATGGAAAGCAGCAGGTAACATGAAAGAAGGGGATCACATGTGACAAAGGTTCGGGTATGTCGTGGTTACGTGTTTTCTTGTGTTAGATGCAGTTGGCCTATCACAGGTCCCAAGTCCTGAAAGATCCAGTTGCTCCATTACTGCCCCTTACCCTCCTGTAGAGCAGAGACCACCATTGCAACAACGTTCCTTTACTCTTCTGCAGATGTTTAATACTGTTGGCTATAATCAGGGCTGGATCTTTCATCACATTTACATTTAAATACACAAAATGTGCAGTTTTCTTAGTTAAAGAAAAACATGTATTTGCTTCTTGTCGCGCTGACAAGTTGTATTTATTTAAAAAGCGTTGATATATTAAAACAAATGTTATTTAATTGGATCAATGACTTTATTCAATAGAGTCATTTGTTCAAGCATTTCATTTTTATGTCTGATGGTGTCCTAAAACATGACAACAAACATTCACCCCAATAGAAGCTTCGAATGTAAACAAAAACTTGGTACAGCCCTAATTATAGTAAAATGATCAAATAGATCTCAGTCATATATAAGACCGTATTTTCAGCTGTGTGTATATTTGGATGTTTTTGTCTCCTTCAGATCAAGTGTCGCTCCACACTGCGTATCTCTGGCCTGGTCCCGTCAGCGTACTGGTGCGGCCAGGCAGCGGTGGACATCCCCTTCTACTACCTCATCCTCTCCTGCATGACCATGATCCTCTTCTCCTTCCACACCGGAAACCTGCTAACCTCCAGCAACCTCACCTCTGTGGTCTGTACTTTAAACATGATGCTTCACACATACTTCACAGAAAACAAGCTTGTTGGGTGAACACCTTCTTGGACAGCAATACCTTTAGTTTCTGTGAAAATGCTTGTCTTTTGGTTCCACATTGTTGGCAGATTTAACCATCAGATAACACATTACATACACAGTGCTAGACTTTGGGTATAATATTGAACTTTTCTTCTTCAAAATATCTGAAAAAACTACCCGTTTCATATATTTGTTCAGTACTGTACTCGCATTATCCCAAATGTTTCCTAGATTTTTCAAACCTAGAGAATTCTATACATTAAATCAAGCTTAAGGTCCGTTACATGGTCAATGAGCCTTCTAGTTATCTGCCAGATGCTGTTACAAATCGACTTTTATTACATTTTAAACCTGGTCGTATTGAACTAAACATTTTATCCTGGGCCCAGGAGTTCAACACTTTTAATCCCTATCTGATCAGATCAGATTTGGATTTTGGGTAATTCAAAACCAAAAAACAGGATTAGGATCACTTTCATATCCGATCAGATCAGGAAATCCAATCCAAGCTTTAATCTGGATCAAATCTTCAAAACGGGTAGTTCAAACCAACAACACAGGATTGGGATCAGTTTGATCCCAAAAAACTGGATTATCCTGATCCCACCAGAGGGGTGGATTTCCAGTGGATTACCAGAGCAAAATGTACTGTACAATTTATTTTAAAATATGTTTCAATTTAAATAAAATGGAAAAGTTTGTTAACTGAAATAATACACAATTTTTAGCCTTCATGGGAAATACATTTTATTTTTCCATTTTTGCTCACGTTTGTGGTGACCTATTTTGTTTTCAACCAAATGTTGATGACATAAATGTTTATGCTCATAAAAGTATCACAACAAAGATTGTCAATCACAAATGTAATTTAGATTAAAGTAAAAATATCTTCAACAAAAAAAAAGTCCATCATCTGTCATCACCTTTCAAATTTAAAAATAGAATTAGACATTATAGATGTCTCTGCAATGTGGTCTCTTGTCTTCCTTGTATTATTTTTCATATCCACTAGATGGCGATCGGTAGGATTAAAGCACTGATATTCAGGATCTAGTAATCTTGAAAAGTCGTAATCTGGATCAGGCTGATCCTAT